GTTTAATTTTTTATGCTTGACCTTAGTATTACAAAATGATAAGAGAAACTGCATTCTAATAAAATGTAAGTTTGGGAGAAACAGGTAAGTTGTCCTTATAAAGTAACAAATAATACTGGAGTGACAGTTGGCTTTATGAGCTAATTACTACCTATTTGTCTCTAAACCTATTTCCAGCACAGTAGAGAAAAAACTGGTAGACTTTTCCATTATTTTGAAGTAAATACTAAAGAGTATGTATAAGTAATTTTATGAGTAAAACATCTGATCACATTTTATATTAATACTCAACCTTATTTAAAAAAAAGACAGTTTTACTAAGGGCTTTCTTCTGTCAGTCCCTTACAATGCTAGCTAAGTCAAGAAACAAGAGGAAAAGGAAATTTATATCACTTCTAAAGAGTCTTAAGCAATTTTTCAATTACTTCCCATTGAAAACATTATACCCTTCTCCTTCCATTAGCTGAATCTTCTTAGAATCTTGAAAGAGCACAACATCTTTAATTTTACCAATGAATTCCTTCTGAAAAAGCCCTGTAGTGACTATATTGACTCTCCTGCCGATTTCAAACCCACCAAAATAGCAAATGCCACCATAGTTTAAAGCAGTGTATTTTCTGTGTGGATCAATATCTTCAAATAGAATCAGCTCCTCATCAAGATATACCTTAATACAAGTTTGGTTTTGAACTACAGTAACAAAATGCCATTTTTCATCACAGCAGGTGGAGTGTTTGCTGTGAATTAGAGGAACACAGATTCTTTCTCCAAGATTCACCACAACTTTTAATGTTCCATTGGCAAGACCAATGGCAAGGAAATCATTATCTTCATCTTCAGCTTTTCCCATCCATACCATTAAGCCTTCAGTTTGATTGGTAGTGAAATTTAAAGAAATGCGGCTATACTGGAGGTCTCTTTTTCCATAATAAGGATCCGTGTATTTGATGTAGGAGTTACCAATGAACTTTGCTATAAAAAATTTGATTTTGCTGTCGCAGTACTTACCTGACCACCCTAGTGCACATACACAGATATATGAAAAAGAATCAGGCTGAGGAATACAGAGAGCTTGAGATCCACACTTGTTTTGTGAACAGTGAAGAGATTCTTCACATGTGTTCCCCATCCACTCTTGTGGGCAAGAACAAGAAAAACCTGAGTTTTCCACTTGACATGTTCCATTATTTTTGCACACTGTGTACCCACAAACTGTTCCATCACAGTCACCAATGTTGGCTCCACCTTTGGGGTCAGTCACGGTAAGCTTCAGTTCCCTGTCGTTTATAGCAATTTCTCGTATACAACCAGTGAAACCCGTGGGTTCGTTTTCTACTGCCATTGGATTAACAAGGTTTAAGGAGGACACCCCTCCAACAAAAAAATCTGTTTGTGTGTCTAGCGCGTTCATTCCAGGACTAGCTTTTTCAGTAATGCTGATACCATCCAGGTCCAGGTAGCCTTCATTACCAACTCTTCCTGCTTTGAGTGAATACCATGTGTTTCCATTTGCATGGACCTTCTGAAAGGTCTGTAGGATGACTGTCTTGTCTCCGAGATTGTAGCGTAACTGTATAAATCCATGTACTAATGATATACATAGAAAGTCACCTGTAAAAAAACATAGAGAACTGTTTTACTTTTTAGAGGCAGCATGCTGAAGAACAGCGTATTCATAATCATGGTGCTTTCATGCCTGTGTTTCCCCAGTTGAATAACTTTCAGTGGCCTTGTACCATCATGTATAAATCACACAAAGTGAAATGATCCCTGATGAGCTGCTCATGGCTTGCTGCCTTTTTTTTTTTTTTTTTTTTTTTTTTTTTTTTTTTTTTCCCTCCATTACTGGAAACTGAGCTTGTGTTTACTTTGAAGTCAGCCCAACCTTCTGAAAAGCTCTGCTTTGGTGCAGAGACTAGATAACTCTGGGGTAGGGAGAAAGAGGATCACTTTGACATCCAGGGAATGTGAGTTGATGTTCCCATGAAAAAGAATCCAATTTTGGCCAAATTACAAATGCCAGAATACTCTCAATTTCCATATGCTACATAAAAGTCTTGATGGATTTGTCAGTTTAATGCACTGAAGTTTTGTCTGTACCAAACACACTCTGCTTTGCCTGAAGCTGCTTTTTGCAATGGGGATGTTTTGGGTTTAATAATCTTGACAGTTGTAGGAACAGATAAGCTTTTTATTGAAATGTTCTGGAGACCTCCATGACAGGATGTATTAGGAGGGAGTTACCTTGTCTTGTACTATCA